GTGTGTGTGTGTGTGTGTATGTGTTTGTGTGTGTGTGTGACTATACCTCATACCCTACCTACCTACCTACCAGAACAAAGTGCAGATGCATACAGATAATTCCAATTATTTATTTTTTTTTACCTCACTTTGTCCTGTTACTTTTGTACATAGTCCTTTTCCTAGTCGTCTCTGTAGTGATAACAGATAACAATGCTTCTTCCAGGTACAAAGTGCTCGCGGTGTTTAGGATTCGTTATTCAAAAGTGTTACACGGTACTACAAAGAACAGACCTGATCTACCTCGTGAAAGTTCGTCGAACGGGTCTCAGATTATATCTTTGCTTTTTACTACAACGTTTTGTCTAAATCTCGTTTCCTACTTTGTATCAAGGAAAGCGTTACATTTCAAAAGGAAAGTCAGTATTTTTAGGTTAAGAAGTCCGTGGGAACCGATTCATTTCCGCACTGACGCTCGAACCTTCTAAGGCCAAGGACCTTTTTTTTTTATCAAACATCTATCGTCGTAATCTCTCTTCCTTCTATTTTGTGTTTGTTACTCTCTTGTAACACCTGTAATCTTCTGCACTTATATATGACCTTGTTGTGTTGCAAGTGCAAGTGCTGTAAAACTCTTTCTAAAATTAAACTAATCTGACCCGGGCCCAATGCTTTCCTGCCGTCTATTCCGTTAAATGAAAGTGTTTGTGGATTAACAATCAGCTGTGTGTAATGAAATATGCTTGATAAAGTATATTCTTTGTACAGAGATCAACCTCACGTCTTTTTCTTGAAATATATGTCCTGACCGTAGTTTTTCACCCTTTTGGTTCTAGCCCACAGGGATATAAACGATAATGACTATTTTGCCCTGCAACTGGGAAGCAATTGCGCTCCATCGAGGGGCTGTAATGCCATTTGTGTCACAGTACGTCACCGAACAAGACTGTTTTAACGGTAGTATTCTCTAAATGAATTACCACAAGGATGATCGTGAATTCCGCGGCAATTTCAGTATCTGGAATGAGTTTTGAGTTTGCCTGCTTTCGTCTCGTGTGAACTTTTTACATCGTCGTGTGATGGCGTCTAGATTTGCAAAGAGCTGTACTTGCGATCTGTTTATGCTGACGTAGTTGTTGCTATTGATTGACCGTGCTCCCCAATCGATGCCGGGCGGAAGGAGACCAAGGGTGCCAGCCTGCTGTGTGCGCCTCGTTTCTTTTAGACTTTTCCCAATACTTTTCCAGGATTAGAAACTACCGAGAATAGTAAGCAGTTACTGGGTTGTTGAACTGGCATCAGAGTGATAGGGTTTAATGGGAGCGGGCTACTAGAGGGTATTCCTGATGTAGGTCATACCTTATCTTCCTATTTCTCTTCTCCGTTCTTAGTTACTTTGTGGTTTCAGATGTTGTTCTCCCCTTCTGTTTATTCTGTGTTGTTTTGTTTTTTCCCAGAACGTTTTGCCGGCCGTTTGCTTGATTTTGTGTCACTTTGAAATTGAATCCCGACTGGAGCAATTAGGACGGAAGTTCAAGAGATATACTGCAAAGGCGATACACTAAAGTAGATATCACCCATGTCCATCTGCTGGACAAAGATGCTGGCTGTACTATATTTCTCCATTAGGAGGCATGGCGTCTCCAGTTCGTATTCAGTTCCTCTTGCTATCTCGCCTCTCCTTCGTTACTCCTCGTTTTCCCATATCCATGGCGGGAAATGATAAATATTTTGTATACAGGTTTTGCTCTTTGGTATATCTCTTATTTTACCGGCGAACTGAATTACAATCTGACTGACGTATGGTTGACTGACAGAATGAATAACCAGTTTACATTTCTTTCTTCGTCACTTCCCGCTCCTCTTACCCCTCCTCCCTTCTCCCATTATGACTCACTTTCTTCTCCTTCACTCAACCCTCACTCGTTCCCTCATCTGTCTGCCTGTCTCACTACTTTATCCACTCTAATTCTTCTCCCGCTCTCTCACC